TGTTCATGACAGAAGTCTTAACAGATTATCCTATTTATACTTACTGAATGCAGCACTATTACTCGTGTATGACCGTGACGTGTGAGGCTATGTCAGAATTGTATTCAATGCGATGCAATCTGTTAGAGCAATAACTCAGTAGTTAAGGACACTACTACCCTGTAAGCTCTTAATCTTACCCCATCTCTAGAGAGTGCAGCATAAAAATAGCTCTGACATTTTGGCACACACTTACATAAGTTAAATCCACCTACCTCCTTTCTCCAACCAAACAATCTGTGTACATCATAGTTGGCATGATACATTTGTGTTATTACCATTCAAAGGTAGAGTTGACGATCCTGGAAAACCAAGTGGAAGCTCGATTTTTGAAAGTAGACAATCGTCAGCTTTAACGCATTAATCGCCATCGGGATGAAAAGAGAAGTTCAAGAAATGTAACGAAATTATTCAGAAAGGAATCGCCAGCCCTACCTTTAAGCACTCCAGAGTTCTTGGTAAATTAGTTGTTTTATAATGTATAATGTCATTGTTGGAAATGGAATACTGTGGTTGTAATAAAATGGGGGAAGCAACAGATGTTGACAAATGCAAGCCGTTTGTACAGATGAGAATGCAAAGTGTTTGAATGCTAGAAAAGAGCAATGGATCCACTGCAGTATGAATATGAGTTCTTTGTGTGTGCGTTGGAGTGATTGGCCGGGTTATTTGGCGTCCATTAGCAGAGCAGCTTTGGGAGCATGCTGCGGAGGAGCTAATGACTGGGCCAGGAGGGCAGAAACCCCGCTGGCCTCAGCTGTGAGTGAACATGCCTACAGAGAAAACTAAGTTCAGGAAGAGGTCGGCTACAATACGTCTGTCCTGCTCCTCAGTTTCTCATGCATTTACACAATCGCACAAAAAAGAATTTGTGGGGCTTTATATTTGCTGTAATGAGGCCTTCAGGTGTTGTTCCATTGTTTTGGTAAGGAAAGCACTGAAAGTTTCTTGGCATCCGGCTGTATCGCTGTGCTTTAAAGTCTTATATCTGCAGTGGTTTGTAGCAGCTCCTACGGCTGCTTGGTGGAAGATTGATAAAATATGAGTCCAAGAAATGCAAACAACACATTTTGGGGTGAATACAAAAAAATTCTAGTGCCAACATCAGCCAAACTAACATTTTTTGCAGCAAACTGTGAATCTTTTCATATGTCATGAAAATGTCTTTTTCCTGGTCCCTTGCATTGACAAATTGCAAAAAAAAAAAAAAAAAAAAAAAACTGGTTAGTTTCAGCAAATTCCTTTACTTACTTTTGCTGATATTTGCCAGGCAGTTTGTTGAGCAAGCTTTATCTAAAAATATATATTTTAGATGTGTTTATTATATAATACTCAAACCTGTATGCAAAATAATGTGCTATGAAAAGTTTATAACCCAAGATGTGAACCATTTTGAATGATCGTTCATGATGAGAAGTTTTCATGCAGCTAAGAGCAACACCTTCTAGGTCCCTTCTTAATCCCTTCATATCTTTTAAACTCTCTCTTGTCCGGTTGTCATGAACTTCGGCCCATAAAATAATTCTCGACTCACACATTTTCTACAGAGCTCTACAAACTTATTCAATCTTGATTATAAATGTAAGAAAACTTATTCTGACCTCTACAGAGAATTTTTGCACTCTTATTTTGCAATTTGTCATGAAATCATTGTTATATCAATCAGTGTTATATTGGCTCAGATTTTGCTGTATTGGTTTGAAAATGCAAACATTTTAAAAATCCGACATCTGTGCACTTAACTTGCACTTAATTTTGCTTGCAGTTTTATTCAGAGTGGGGGTCTTTTCACAGGATCACATTTGAAGTCACTGGCTAGCAGGACATTTTTGATAAGCAGCGAGCTTAGAGAGCAGACATTGTGTGCAATAATTCAGTTGCTCATGAGTCCTGACAGTAGAATAGACCTATCAGTTTGTTGAATTAATAGCATTCCTGTAGGTTTCTTGACAGCATATAACTAATTTCAGACCATTTGGCTGGGACAGAGTCGTCAATGGCACCAACAGGAAGCAGACATTTGTGTTGTTCGTTAGTACATGTGTAGTACTTTTCTTGATGTGCAGTTGTTTTTTTGGCTCTGTTTTCTGATATATTTGAAAATTTTTAAAATAAGACTTTTTAATAAGACCTTTGTGTTCTGCACAATTTAAAAGCCTAATTTTAATTGTCCCTTGAAATACTTTTTTTTTGTTACATTTAAAATACCTGCTGCTTGTTATTGTATAATTTCTGTAACTGTTAACTTGATTAATTTGACTTACTTGACAATGTCTTAACATTCCATCAGTATCCATTCAAAAGTTTATTTATTCCAAATTTTCCTGGATATTTTTTATGTCATAACCTTGAACTGAAAACCTTCAATTACTTGCAGCCTATTACTTTATAACATTCACAATACCAGTGATATATGATCCTAGAACTATTCCCAAGTCCTACAAGTGCTTTTGTTGGACAGTTAATCCGTGTTTCTTAATGTCTTCATTTCTCTTTTTTCTTTCCCACAAGTGATTAATTGCAGGATGTTTCAAATAAAACAATAGAACACTGTTACTGAGCTGTGTTCAAACCATGACTTAAGAAGTGACATCAGTTGGGAGTGAATAGAATGATTGATAGAAAGGCAGATTTGGACAGCGGCTCTGCCTGCAGATGCTAATCCTTCTTCAGCCCGTCTGTGAGGAAACCGCTGGGACGCAACCGTGAAGCGACGTCCCTCAACACGAGTTGAATTTCCTTCCTCCAGATACCTAGTATGATGCCAGTCCTTTCAACTCTCTCGCCACTGGATAATCCCAGGTAAACATTTTTTGTTTTGGATTAGCAGCGTGTTTGTAGATGTGTGTCTGTTGAGGACACATAACCTGGAAATGGAAGCACACTGTTCCGTGACACACGAGTGTTACTAAGAGGCTCTATTAGTTATGTGTGACACTGTTATGTGTAAGCGTTCTCCCCTGGTTCCTGTACCTGGAATCAGTCCCCTGTCTGTGGCTCTGCTTACACTTAGCCCTGAATCAGACATCTGAGTTTCTTGCTGTGCTTTGTTTTGTTTTTGATTTGGCTACATGCACCACTGTTTCAGTGAAGAATGAAGGCATAACATCAAAAACGTTAGTGATGCGCTGCTGCTCTAAATCCTGAACTGGAATTTTTTTGTCTCCTATATTGCAGAGAACTCAGCAGGACCTGTTCACTAGTAAACCTGAGGAGTTGGTAAGGAGTGTTGTTTTACAGACACATCAGTTACTGTGTCACAAAAGGCTGTTCTAATTCTTTATAGTTAGGAGCAGTGGACCTTCAGGCAAAAGTTTGTGACCAAAACATTTTTACTTGTTGTACTTTGGCACAGATAGGTGTATGAACTCCTTAGCAAATGTTCTTTTCCATCGACATCATCTATCTTTGGAAATAGTGATTGCAAACATGACAAAATTAAAGAACTTGTGTTACATAAACATTGCAGTTTAACATGCATCAGTGTGACAACAGCCCATATAAGGAATTCATGCACGGAGCTGAAGCATTATGCAAACGGTGTGTGCCTGTGGAAATAAGGACAGGCATATCAGCTGCAAGGCCATTTATAAACTGCCCCACTCTTTATAAGTCATTTTCATTGGGTTTCCGTCGTGCTTCTGATTCTTCTGCTATTGCAAGAAGCCTTAATGGTATTTTTATTGAGTGGCCTCTCTTTTCTCTGCTTTCCTTTTAAGTCTGTTTGAAATGTAGCAAGCCTGTGTTGTGACATAACTGTCCAGCCACAGCCCCATCTCCTTGTATTATTCACTTTCTGATGAGTTATTCATTTGTTTAATCATTGCAGACTGCATACTGGAGAAACGATCAATAATCTGGGCTTAAGTGGCCCCTACTGTCAGCACAAGGACCTGATCCTATCTAAACATCTTCCATCTTCAGCGGTGGTCTCTATCCACCAGGTTATAGTGCAAGAGATCTCTTCCTTCCTGTATCCCAGCTTTTGTCTGTCTAAGGAATGTTTTTCCTCTCAGCATAGCTCAGTGTGACTTATTAAGTTTGAAGGAACCATGGCCGCAGTGTCTGGTTTCAGGTTATATGTACATATTTAGTTTGATGCTGAATCTCAACTTGATAACGAATGACCATGATGTGGTTTGAGTATAGCATTGTACAGGTTCAGAGTTCAGGCTGGTCATCTATCAATGATAGAATGATTGTGTATACAAATGTGAATTCTGGGGCACAACACAAACTAGAGGGTGGATACATGAACCAAGCCCAACAGGACCCATTGGTACCTGAGGGTTTGGTTTGGGTTTAGACAAAAAATTAGAAATTATGCTCGGGTTCACAAACTCAAATGTAAAGCCATCGGTTGAATTGGCGCCGCAAACAGCTGCCTCGGTTCTGTACTGGAAACAAATTCCCTGTGTGTAACATACTTGGCCAAATAAAGATTCTCCTTACAAAGTTTATATGTTTTTGTTGTCAAAATATTCCTTTATTATATCATCCCCCTCAGCACCCTTATGTAGATTGAACAGTCTCAAAGAATCACGTGGTTACTTCCTCAGTAGAATCAGTTTAATGTAACACATTTGCAAGCAATGAGAAGGCCTCCATTAATGAGTTAATGTCAAGCGCTGTCGTTGTGCTTTGCTTGTTCAAGATTCATCCAAGACTGAATCACCACTCTGGCTTTGCCAGTGTCGAATGGCCCTGTGGTCATTTATCCAGCATCACGCTGCCTCACAACTTTCCCGTCAGCCTGTACGGCTGTACAATAGTAACAGCTTTTATTTATAGATAACATTTCATCAAATCCACAGTGTGTCATCAGCACTGGAGGAAAAACAGAAACCAGAGGGAGCGAAAGAAACTCTGTATATAATATTTGGCCATTGTGTTTCCTTTTTCCTCCGAGTAATGTTCTGTGTTTGGTTTTGTTGC